GCTTAAATGCAAGGAGGAGAAAGAATTTGGATAAAAGATAGAAGGTCATTTTATGACATATTAAAGAAACTGAATAGTGGCTTCCAAGTACCATACTTTTCTTTGGTGGCCTTTTCCTCCTCCTTCCTCCCAACTCTACACACACACACACACACACACACACACACACACACACACACACACACACGTCACATCTTGTGCTTTCCTCTTTTCTTTCTCTTTTTGTATCTTGGTTAAGACCACGGATTGCAGAAGGAGAAAAGGTCAAGGTTCTGGGGATTAGTAGCAGTGAAGCAAGACTTCAATGATTTTGTTCAGCTGCAACATTTGCCCTTTTTACTGCACAATGAAATACATCAGAAAAATGCATTTTGCTAAATTTTTATGAACTGAATGCACCCAGCACCCAAATCAAGATTGACTACCCCTGAAAGGCCCTCCCTACCTGCCCTTCTATTATGCTTCAGCCCCATCCCGGGGAAACCGCTTTCCTGAGATTAAGCAGCAAAAATTGGTATTGTCTGGTGTTTTTTTTTTTCAACTTTAAATAGAATCTTTCAACTTTACATAAACGGAATAATTCTGCATATATACTCTTTTATCTGGCTTCCTTCATTCAACATTATTTTGTGAAATTCACCCAACTTCTTGTGGTTGGATGTAGTTCATTGATTCAAATGTTTATATATATCACAATTTACCTCTCCATTCAACTGCTGATGGGCATTTGAAGAGTTTACAGTTGGGGAACTCCTACAAATAGTGCTGCTGTGGGCTTTGGAGGGCATGTCCATGTTGCACACATGCACACACTTCTAGCAGGTATACGTCGAAGAGACGATTTGCTGGGCCACTAGATTTAGGTTCATCTTTAGTTGATGCTGCTTAACTGTGAACAACAGAAAAGAGTACTTGGCAGCTGCTATTCAGGAAGAGGCCCCTTGCTGCTTGTAGAGGATGCTATCTAGAGCCTCAGCAGTGAGGTCCTATATTTCTGCCATTCACACAACCACTCATCTTTGTCTATTTTAACTGGCCCCTCCACACATCTGTGGAGCAATAATGCCTGATATTCGAGAAGATGATTTTCAGGATCCTGAAGAAACTTCTGAGTCATCAAAAAGAGCTTCTTTGCTCTTTGTAGTTTTACGGTTCAATGATCAGCTCATGCTGAATTCTAATTCATTTATTCACTAACAATTGTTATATTTCTACTCTCTAGAAAATGCAATAAAAGTAAATTAAAAGTGGGGTCTTGCCTAGAAGTAGTTTATAAGCTTTGGGCAGTATAAATAACTAGACAAATTAGAAAGATATGAGTCATTCTATAGGCATCACTACAGGCAAAGTAATTATATTTTTAATACTGGTAACCTACATATGTTAAACATACTCTAGGATGTTTGGTTAAATGTTACAAAATTTTATGACCAAGCTCAATTCTAAACATTCATCCTTTCATTAATGGCAGACATAAGTTTAGCTTAAATGCTACAGAATCTACTTTTATTTTGTTCTGTGACTCTAGAAACACCCATACTCCACACCAACAAATTCATTCAGTCAGTAAATAGGTATTTTCTGCTTATCTCTCGACCTATCAGGATATAACTGTAATCCTTTAATTTCCCTTATCTGCCGAGTATTTCCAGTTCTCTGCCAGAGAGTTTAGCTCTGACACCAGATCAGTGTAATTAGTTATTCAACAAATATTTGTGTAGCTTACTTTATGTCAAATACCATGGCAGGCCCTGAAAATGGAACAATGAAAAACCCCGACGTGATCCTTGTCCTCTTAGAGTTTGCAGTCTCAGGGAAAAGAAATACAGTGTTCCAGTGGCCACACACTATAATTTCAAAGAATGCTTATGTAGCAGGTTTAATAGTGTCCTCCCAAAATCCGTGTCTACCTGGAACCTTATAACGGGTCCTATTGGGAAATTAGATTTTTGCAGATATAATCAATTGGGATCATCCTGGTTTAGGATGGATCCTAATCTCCGACATTGGTGTCTTTGTAAGAGAAAAGTGGGGGAGGTTGAGACAGACACAGAAACACACAGGGAAGAAGGCTGTGTGGCGACGGGGAGATGCTGGAGTGATGGGCACAAGCCCGGAACACCAAGAGGTGCCATGAAGCTGAGAAGAGTCGAGAAGGATTCCTCCCCGGAGCCTTAAGAGAGAGCCTGGCTCTACTGATGCCTTGGTTTAGGACTTCATGCCTCTAGAACACCGAGAGAATAAATTTCTCTTTTGTTTTAAGCTATCAGTCTGGTAGTATTTGTTATGGCAGTCCTAGGAACCTAATATAATATGTATTAGAGTGAATCATGAGAAACTGCGACTTTTTGACTGCTTTGACCTACACAAACAGCAATTTCACATGGTCCAGCCCTGGGTGCTGTGAGCTGGTGAGAGGAATTGCTAGTGGAGCAGGCCAAAGGTAATGAAGAACGGGAGAGAATAGCAGAGGACCAGGCTTATGCAAAGGTTCGAGGCAGAGGGTCCTGCCGCCTTTGAGAACTCCAGAAGATGATGCTCGGACATGGTGTCCTCAGGGCTGGACAGGCAGCAGGGACTCCATGAGTAGCAGTGCCTAGAGACTGAGAGTTTTGTTTTAACAGCATTGAAACCCCATTGAGGGTTTAAGCCCAAGGTGCTGCAGATGGAGAACAGGTTCAAAGGAGCCAAATGGATGGTGAGAACGTGGACGGAACTGCAGAACCCTGGCAGGGATGAGAGTGGGCAAGCGGGGAAGTTTTCAGGAAGGAGCCCCAGATTTGATTTTGGTGACAAGTCTTGAGGAATATACCATTTGCCCTTGTGTCTCTTTGAAGATATTTAATTCTCATAAAATACACATACCAGCCCCGGTATGCCTGGAGCCCCAAGGTTGACTAACATGATCGTGCGTAGCCATTCTGCTGCCCGAGAAGTCTCGAAATAGGAGTAACACCTCCCCAGGTTTCTCATGTCTCCCCCTTGCTCCTCACGTTGTGCTCCCACACTTCATGTCTCAGCCGAGTAGCCGTGTATCTGTTGTCCTTATGGGTTGACATGACCTCTATCCATCATAATGTGGGCTCCAAGAGAGCAAATAGTGTGCATTGAAAATTTTTATATCCACAGAACTCGGTGCCGAACCTGACCTAAAGGACTTGATTTATAAGCAACTGCATCCATGGATAAATCAATGAGTCATCAAATGCACAAACTGAATACCTTATTCCCAGTCTGTCTTCCCAGCCTGCCTTTGACCTTATATAATTGCCTCTCTCTGTGGTCAGACTTAACATTATCAACTGCTTTTTTTCTGTATATTTCTACTTAACCACAGATGAATATTTTGGTATTAGTTGTGCCAATAAACTTCTGGAAAACCAGTCTTTTCCTTGTGAATCTCCTTGTGTACATATGCAGCCGTTTGTCTAAATGCTTGCGTCTCTTGCATATTTTTATTTTGTACTCCAGGGAACTAATTCTTTATCATGGCCATCGCCATAAGTATCAAATTATTGAGCATGTGCCATGTTCAGTGTTTCACTCTGGGAGGGAGGAAGGCAATGAATAACAGTGGCCCCTTCCCTAAAGGAAATTGCCACGTAAGACAGAAAACTGAGGACAAGCCACCAAATGTAATAAGATGTACAGGTGGCTAAGGCAAAATGTTTATATTCTGTAAAACAAAAATGTAAGAAAAGTCTCTGTAGTGGAATGAGAAAAGAGCCATGCTTTCTGCACCAGAAATAAGAAGCCTCACCATGAGCTCATAACCAGCTGGACAACTGAGCCATATATTGTATTGAAATTAGGTCATTTCCCCAAAATGCAGCGCTCATGTTCCCTGTGGCCAGTTTGAATAGCCCCATATGAGTAGAGGGATGAGTTGCCACCTCTCTTGCTGTTATAAAACTTTCTTGGCCTCTCATGCTAATCTTTCCACAAGCCCAAGACAGATTGCAACTCTAAGGAAAAACATACCTAACAGGGATAAGAAGCTAATGGTTTTTGAAACATGCATCTCTATCGCCATCCAAAAAGCTGCCTGAACTCGACATATTCTCTGAATGGGGTCAGTGGGCCAAGATACAGACTGGGAACCAGGACAGGGAACAGGGTGGACGTGGAGAAGGTCATTCCTGTCTGTGGAGAGGCCCAAGAGGAGGTTGGTGGTAAAGGGAAGGAAGCAAGATGGGCAGGAGAAAAGCCTCGGGAGAGGAAAGAGGGCAGGATGGGAGGCAGAGAGGCCCGCTGCCTCTCTTCTCAGGCCGGAATTCTGTAGCCAAATCCGTCCTATGTGTCTCCTTAGCTCAGCATTCGTGCTGGTTTGTGATGTGAAGTCTTGGCTTTCCTGAAACCTCATCGGTAGAAGCATAAAAACCATCTTATATGTAAATAAATAAGTGAAAACCGTTTCCTTGTGATTCCTTGCAAAGCTGTTTTATGGCACATAATGTAATGTTTACCAGGTATCTTTAGAACCAAATAGAAAGTTCTTCCTTTAGGTACCAAATGTATTGTTTCCATTTTGAGCTTTTCTTTTTAATTGGCTAGAGAAAATGACCAATTTTCTTGTTCATAGGTTCCCTCTTTTCAGACAGGACCATTTAGGGTTTTCATGTATTTTCTATTCTGATTTCTAACTGTAGAACACGTGTCTATAAAACAAATTTTATTGTTTAAATACATGAGTGATAATGAAAAAGCAAACAATAAAAAATAATGTTTGTTGTGAAAAGGGGCTTGCTTATATATGGGGATAAAACAAAATTTTTTTTCTGATTTAGTTTTTTTGTTTAATTTGGTTTTGGTTTTGTTTTCCTGGTGCTCAAAGTTTGAAGGCAGAGCAAAAAATAAGGCAGGTGACAGATGCATATTTGGTAGAGCTCTGCTGCCATCTACTGTTTCTTCATGCAACAACTCATTGTTTTTTAATCAAAAAATGTGTTTCATTCAAAAATCTGATAGTTTATGATTCTCTTCTATTCTTTCTTCTTTAGTTAAAGCAAAGTGAAGCAAATGCAGACACCAAAGAAAAGCTCCCTTTGCGACTTCGAATCTTTGAAAAATTTCCTAACAGACCGCAAATGGTGAAAATCTCAAAACTTCCTTCAGATTTTACAGTTCCTAAAATCAGGTATTTAACTATTTCGTTAACTGTATATCTCAAATGCACTGTAAAAATTCACCTTCAATTTGATGCAGCCTTCTTTCAAACTCATGTGGATGTGGGATTTTCTGTATTATTATCTATATTTCTACTCTACCTCTGGTCTAAAAGCCATTGACCCCTTTAAAGCAGTCTTCAGAGCAGTCATCCGACAACTGTATTAGCTTTGGCAAGAAGGCTGCTTCTCCCTGAGATGCTTCGCAGGTATTTGGCTTCCCAGGTAAATTGCAAAGGTCCTCCAGGTTGCCAAGAGATGACAGGTAGACATCAGCCTCTGATCCTCAAACATGTAAGGATTAAATTGCCTCTGGGGCCCATTTATTTTCAAGTAAATAGAGAAACACCACTAGTCAGGTTTCTGTACAGTATTTGTTTAGAATTCAATGTCTGATTACAGTATAATTTTTCTTCCACTTTTAAAGCAGAACAATGGAATTTCCCACTCATAGTAATTTGATTTTCTACCACTTTATCCTCCAGTTAGGTAGTTGCAGAGAAGATACAGTAGAACATTTATTTTTAATAATTAAAAGTAAATTCTCCCAGTTACAGCTCAAAGATCACAAATAGAACCAAAATAATATGAAATATGGCATCTTTATGTAACTAGTTTTAAAAACAATTCTTTGGGGAGAGGTTATAAAAGCATGAGGCTGGTGCCATAACATGTAAAATTCAAATGGAAATACATTTGCATTTCTGCTTTTAAAAACCCCAGAATTTAAACCTGAATCTATAAAGCATACAAGAGTCATAAATTACATTCAAGATTAGTGGTTATCTGCAGAGATGTTATTTGAATTCTCACCATGCTTTGGAGATCAAATGAGGTAAGTTTCTTCTGAATTATTTTGAGTTTTTGAATGTAAAATTATCTCTCAAATGTTCCTAAGATAAATGAAAGTTCAGAGAGATGGAGCTAATTATTCTGAGTTCTAGAAGGGGGAAAGGGTATCTTCTTACCACCATAGGATTCAAAAACTACCATCGCTTTTTCAATATTACTGATTAAAAGTTATTTCAGGGACATTAATTTTTTTTAAACAGGAATGGTTGAAAATTCAGAAGCTCTCTCTAAATTAATCATTGTGGTAATTAAATCAAAGCACTACTCTTGGTTTGGCATGTCTTGTTTTCTGTGAACTTTTGTCACTGCTTAACGTCAACTCAAGCAAACACGTAACCTCAATCTCCCAACCCTGCTTCCTTTCATGGATAACGTGTGCTGTACGTATGCATCATTTGCAAAGGGAAAGCTTCATGAAGCAGTTCATTGATCGCCAGCAACAGGACACCTGCTGCCTCCTACGAAGCCTCCCGTCAGCCTCCTCGTCCTCCTGCGACCACTCCAAACGGTCTGCAGTTGAAGACAACAAGTACATTGACCAAAAAGTAAGAATCAGCCTCAAATAACTGAGTTTTTCTTAAGCACGTATGTTGGAGAAACGAACCCCATAACTGTCTGTGGTCCTGACATCAAAGGTCTCAGGAGAATAATGAAGGAAATAGTTTTATTTGTAGACAAAATCATTAAATCTAATGTTTATAAATTTGTGGATTTAATTTTGCCCTTCTACAAGCCAGCCATGTAGCGGCCATAGGACTTCGAATAGGTGGGAAGCCGCTTCAACCCTGCCTTCTGTCACACGCAGAGGACGGGCTTTGATCCCAGAGGTCCAGCCCATGTTTTACAGTGGCCTGCATGTAGCCTTTTCCACTGTGCTTACTCCATCACTATTCCAGGGAGACTAATCAGAGCAAGATTCTCTAAAACCAGTCACAATAACTACAACTTAAGGAGTGCTTCCTGTGTGGCAAGAACTGGCTCTAAGTTCACTATCAGACTCATGTTCTGATTTACACTCTTTATCGTTTGAAAAGTAGATAGGGAATTTTTTTCCCCTCAGAGCCCATGGTTAGAAAATGAGAGATGAACTAACAAAGTTTGTAAAGGAGAGTAAACATTAGCATTTGCAAAAGCATCTGATTGACTTGCAAACATTTTACTTTGGAAGCCTAGTTTACTTTTTATTCCTTCAAACTGTTGCCGCCTTTCTTCTGTTGCTTATGATCAAATACTTAATTCTCTATTATCCTGTGAAAGTAAAATCACAACTCCTTCACCCTCCAAGATTCTCTATTTCTCCCCGTCCTCCCCCTTCCTACAGGACTAGGCTTTCAGAGCACCTTGCCTTTGCTCCTCTCCTACTTCTTTTCTCCCATCCCCTCCCTGAATGAAACTCTTCTCCTTCCCCTTTTTGTGTCCCCAATTCCTCAGTTCTCTGCTGCAGCTTAGTGATTTGGTTCCAGTTATTCAGGAGATGATTCCTTTGTAGTAGATCTCTTCTTGTTCAAGGATTTCCATTTGTTTATTTTCTTTCAGTCATCTGCAGTTGTTATTCCTCTGTCTTATAGATTCCATATTGTAGATGACAAGTCTGATGCCAATACTGTTTTCTTTTTTTTTAACATTTGAACATAATTAGGTTTTTCTTTAGTTGGTTGCTTGACAGGATTCTTCCGGGAAGCTTGGAAGACTTTCTACGTTTCCTTGGACTTCAGAAACTTTACCAGGATGTACTTTTAATGTCTTTTCTCATCAGAACTGCCCAAACTGGGGAGTCTTTTCAGTTTGCAGACTAAGATATTTGCCAGGGAAATTTCTAGTTAATATTTGCTCCATTATTACTTTTCCATCTGCTTTTTCCTCCTATTTTTCCCTTGTGATTGTCATCTCTCGGTTTTTCTGCTTGATCTTCCAAGGCCACTAATTTGGTCTCAGCTGAGTTTGAGATTTAAAGTTGCCCTTAAATTTTGAGTGAAAGATCATGAAATGTGTTTGTGTGTAGACACACATAAACACAATCTCTTAACTCTCCTTAAGGACTTTTACTCTTTTTAAAACATTAGCATTAAACTTGTTACATCCCTTTTCCACAATTATATTTCATTCAATCAGGGCATGGAAGCAAAAGTTCTTACATTGGTTGACAATTAAGTGGGAGCCTAATGGCCAGGTTTTGGCCAATCAGTCTGAAATTGCATTTTACACGCTAGAGCACAGATTGTTTATTTCTAAAATTTGTTTCAAAAGCAGACTTCAAAGCAAATGTTTCAGCATGAACTCCCAGTTTGGGCTGTGGTTGTGGCCAGTTATGTCCAGGAAGAGGGCTGAGAGCTATCATTTTATGTCCAAAGTGGCAAATCCACAACGTGTTGTATAAAACCCCTACTAACATTGTCCCATTGGAAACACAAATTTGAAATTAGTGCATGAAAATTTATTTTCTCTGTAAAAGCAAATGGGATGTTTCTCATACTTCCTAAACAGAATATTTTGAAATTCTTGAGGGGAAAAGAAGGATCATCTGCAGATGTGTGGGGGTTGGCTCTGGGGAGGAGGTCTGAGGAGGATTTGGCACACCCTTTCCGCACCTGCCCTTATCCCTCCCCAGGTGATCTGTGTGGGATTATAGTCAGAGACCTTCAAATGTCATTTTTGATGTCTTGCACATCCTTTTATTTTTGTGGCTTCTTTTTATTTTCTCATTTAACAGTTATTTTTAACCAACTGAAAGTAAGATAACAATAGTTTTATTCTGTATTCTTATACTCAGCCTCTCTTATTATTTCCTAAAATATAATGAACTAGCAAAGACACTGCTCATCAATGTATCCAAGTCACTTAGCATCTAAAAGAGACTGGAATTCCTTTAAGAGTGCAGGCGGTCTCTAGTCTGTAAGGTCAGTTGATTCAAACCCACAAAATGTGATCTTATACAAGGAAAGTTATCAATGATGGTTGGGTTGCTCTTTATCCTAGTGTCTTGCCAGTGGGTTTCAGCCCCGAGCAAATTCACTATGGATTCAATGAGACTAAAGAAATGACAGTGCAACATTCTTGGGCTGAAAGGGTTTATACCCAACTTTATTCCCACTGTGGCAGGTGAGTCACTAGAATCCCGTCCACTCAGAGAGAGTCTGCACACAGCAGGCTGGTCTGTGCCTCTGCCCCTCTCTGCCCACACGGCTGTCTCAGTCTCTGTCCTCGGTGCTGCCACCGCTCCAGCCTCCGCTCTGCTGCAGCCATGCAGCCTAGAGCGCTGAGCGGAGCTCTTTATATACGTCTGTAACGATATACTGCCCACACGTGTGTAGTGAGCCAGCTGACCAGGGCCAGGGGAGAATCCCGGCCACGGGAACCTTCACTTTCTCCACACGCTGTTAGTGCCCATTTGCACTATTTTTCAGCGAGCACTTGGAAATTTCCATTGTAATCCCAGCTGCCTTTGGAAATGCCAGTCTGTGTCAAGCGGATGGTGGAGTCCTTTGCTCTGCATGCAGACACCCTCCTAACACTGTACAATACAAATTAGGCTGTCTTTGCTCAAAGGGTGGTAAGAAATGAAAAGAAAGTGAGAGGCCGGCTTATCAGAGACTCTCCTCACATGAAAAAAGGAACAATAACACCTTTCCCTTAACAATTTCCTGCAAGGTGAAATGTCTGACTCCCACTACCCTTGAAGGAATCACTCTCCTGCCAAGGAAAACACTGAGTCCCCAGGAACCCGAAGATCACAAGTTAAGGGAAAAAGAAAAACCTGATAACAAAAGGTGGGGCGAGGGGGTTGATAAAGCAATGCAGGAAACCTGAAAGCAGATGTTAGCCAAGATCTTCCTGAGTAATTACCCTGGCTTTGAACAACCGTAAGTAATTCCCATGGCAACCTCACTTGGCAGAAACCATGTTTTTAAAAATAGCCCTGCTTGATTACCTTTATCACATAGTTTAAAATACCTGTCTCCCTGTAAACCAGTGAGCAGACAAAAATGTGCCGTCTGCAAGCTATTGTTGCAGATCCTAAAGGAAAGAGGGTTTTCCATCCTCCGCTTGGGATGAATGGCTGTCCTTCCAGACTTGAAAGAAATGGCCGAATTCCCACATTCCTTTCTCCTGCCACTCCCCACACCTGGGGCACCTCCAAGGGGTACCCTTGCCTCCTGATCAAAGGATAAACCTGCGATCTTGAGAGGAGCTTTCTTTAGTTTCCAAGCAGAAGGAAGTCAGGCAGTGGTTTTCTCCATACTATTGAAATTAAGCCCTAGGTTTCTTAAGTAGAGTGCTTGTTAATAAGCTGAGACGTGAAGTTGGCTTCCCAGTAACCCAGGAAAAAAAGCAGCCCACTTCAACCCCAGAAATGAATCATCTCGTCAAAGTCAAGGTTTCCACTGTGGTTGGATCTGGGGCTCTCACTGCTCTTGAGCTAAGCTCCCCGATCTTCCTGACCTGCTCTCTTGGCTGGTTCCATTTCTGGGGTGAGAACCTAGAATGTCTGGGGAACATGAGGGAGGGAACCTCAGAGTCACATCAGCCTGAGGCAGATGGAGGGATGGGGGGCTGTCCCAGCCACCCTCTTGTGCCCCTGCACTTCCTAGTATAGCATCAGAATGCATATGATAAAGAACAGAGAATGTTTCCCCAACAATAGGCAGTTTCTGCCCTCTCTGCTAAGCATACAGCAATTCTGTGATAAACCTTCAAAATGACCAGCTGACACAGGTGCAAAATAAGAAGGAAAATGAACAAGTAATTACTATGTTTTGTTTACCTTTTCATTTCCACAAGTCCTCAACATTCACTCAGTCATTCAAAAAACATCTGTGGACCACTTATTCATCTGGCACTCTTCTGGGCCATGGGATTTAGTAGTGAGCAAGACATGAACTGTGCCCTTATAGTCAAGTGGGGAGAAACATGTCTTAAGTTGATGAAACTCAAAGTATTTCAGGAACATGAGACAGGACCCCCTAAGTCCTTCTACAGGAGCAGGAAAATTGGACAATATAGAAGGAATGTGCTCCAGGCAGAAAGGGAAGCATGTGGAAAGGCATGGAAAGCATAAGATGCTTGACATAAATGTGACAAGCAGAGCAGATTAGTGATTAAGATGAGTAATAGTGATTAAGTGGTGGAGGTTCCAATCCTCATCTATAGAGATAATACTTAGTTTAATGGTTTGTTATGAGAATTAACTAATATATATTAAATGCCTAGCATTGTACTTGGCATAGCATATGTTATGTGCCAATCATACCAGACAGATAAAAAAGATTACTGATATTAAATACTATCATGAATTCAGACTCAACAAATAGACTTACACTAATCAATCAAGACAAAGGATTTTCACTTAAACAAATTAACCTTTAAATATAACAGTCTAGTTAGCACAATATAATCATTACTGATTTATTGTCTTTATTGTCCATGAGTCTGATTTTTTTTTTAGTCTAATTTTTGGTATTTCAGTTAGTACCTTCATTGCCTACCTAGTGTCTTATGCTCTCAAGAAGTAAATTAAATTGTTCTGGAAAGGTTTACTCTTCACAAA